CAGACTGGCCGACGTGGCAAAACCCCGTCTCTACTAAAAATACAAAAATTTAGCCAGGTGTAGTGGCACGAACTTGTAACTCCATCTACTCAGGAGGCTGAGGCACGAGAATCGCTTGAAACCAGGAGGCAGAGGTTGCAGTAAGCCGAGATCATGCCACTGCACTCCAGCTTGGGTGACAGAGTGAGACTCCCTCTTTAAAAAAAAAACATCCATGCCAATTCTATGAATCAGCCTTATTCTTTAAAACAATTTTTTAATTCTAAACTTAGCTTTAAATGCTGTTATTAATCATGTTATTTTATTTCCAGTTACTCTGAAATTTCCTAGTTAGAAAATGGCAACCAGATGAACAATAAAATAAATATTTGCTTTACTCCAATTATTTTTAAGATTTAAAAATAGGATGTCAGTCAAATACAAGTAAAACAAGGGGGAAAATCAAGGCTATATTCCATCTTCTTAGAAAGTAAAGTGCATTTTATAAATCACCAACCAAAATAGACTCAGGAAGATCACAAGGTCAAGATCTATCATAAGAAGCAATTGCAAATAAATTATACAAGGCAGTATATAATATGATGGTTAAAAGGATAGGCTCCAAAGTCAAAGGTCAGGTTAAACCTCAGGTTTAAATCCTTTCGGTAGACTCCACCACCTACTACTTAACTTCTCTGTGCCTCAGGTTTAGTTCAAATACTGGCCCCACCATTTATTTCATCTGTCAGTTGCTCAGGTTTAAAAAAAGAAAATAGCTTGATTTGGGGGATGGTTGTAAGGATTAAATGTGATGACATGTCAAGTACTGCTGGAACAGTACAGTACCTGGTATACAGCAGTCAACACACATTAGCTATTAATATGACCTATAACAATTCCCCTCTGAATCTATCATGTTTGCAACAACTCTAAATCAAAAGCCTTCCCCTTTTTACTTGAAAAGAGTCAAGCTCTGAAATCATTCCCTCTTTTGTTCAGTCCTTTTTGAATATGGAAATTAGTAGCTAACTGGCTTATCATTTGATGACTCAAGACTCTTCTTAGTCTTTTTATAATAAAATTCTCTTCCAAATATTATACAAAGGACAGACTGCTCCATGGATCAAAAACACTACAAAGAGTTCACAAAGTATAATGAAATTCTAAGATTCATAAATGAACAAATAGCTACTGGCACAAAAAGCTTAGATAAGAAATAATGCAGATTTCTATTCGTTTGCTCAAGAAATACTGAATTTTATAATAAAATACAGAAAGTAGAGATATTCATGACTTACAGTCATATCACTAAAAACATTGAAAATATTTTTGGTAAATTTTTTCTTAACTAGAAAACCCCTTATTTCGTCACAACAATGGATAAATGACATTACAAGCAAAGACAATTTCTTCAAAAACAAATTCTGTAGAGAAAAAAAGCTTAAAGGCTCAGATTTTTAGCTACATACATCTCTTACTTCAAGCTTCAAAAATTTGAGGCTTCTAGCATTCCTTGTGATCTGTAACATTAAGCAGTAATTCAATTAGGCCTCATTTATATCAGAAAACATTAAACTGACTGAAAGGAAATTATCTAGAATTTTGATTCTGATCAATTTAAACACAATACCATAAGTCAGCTAGATGAGTCAAACAAATATTAGAGTTTATGATAAATGAATCAAAATATTTTTTAAAGATCTAGAGACAAACATTTTAAATAATTTTGTATTTGCTAAAGTCCTCCTATGTGTCACACGCTGAGGTAGGCACATTCATATTGAGGTAGGCACTTTCACATGCATTATGTAATTCTGTTCTCCCAACGACCATGGATTATCATCCTGATTTTACAAATGAGAAAACTAAGGCCAAGTGATTTGCTGATGGAAACAATACTTATATAAAATTCAGTCAGAACGCCAATTCAAATTTTCTGACCCTCATTGTATTTCCAAAACTCAAGTACTCTGTCTGCTCTAGTAAAACATGCTAATCTTTTTATCTAGGGAGAGTTGAAAATTGTGATGGGAGAAGAAAAATTCTTCATGTTACAAAAAAAAGATTCACTGTGCTTAATCTGACACAATTTATTCAGTCTGATTTGAATGCTTTGCTGCACACTGTCTACCCCCTTAGACACCACTTATCTTCAGACACACAACCTACATCAAAACCTAACTCGAGAATCACCTCCTTCAAGAAAGTTTCCCAGATTAAATGACCTGTTCCCCTTCTCCCATGCTAACATCCTTCCTTTATCACTTCACTGCTTGCATTAGTTTGGACTACATTATCAGATACTCTTTTTGTTCTCCAGTCATATATCTGGAACTAGATTTTCTTCATTCATTAACTATTGAGCCTTTGGAGATCAATGGTGAGCAAAACAGACAAGGTCCTTGCTATCATGGAGCATTTACATTTTCTGGATCTTCAACAAAGGTAAAAATAACACAGGGTATAAGAATACGATGCTCTAGGACTAGGATTTCTTCCCTATAAGGTCTCTCAAAATAGCTCTCTCCCTTGCAAGTTTGATAACACTTTTCAGCAAGAAAAATTCCTTTTATCATGTCTTCCACATGAGAATTTTATGACTTTGTGAGGATATTATGAGGGATAGAGACCAAGGTGGAAAGAAAGATAGATCTAAAATCTCGGCAGGGATGGTGTCTCACGCCTATAATCCTATCCTAGCACTTTTGGGAAGCGGGTGAATCACCTGAGGTCAGTAGTTCAAAACCAGTCTGACCAACAGGGTGAAACTCCATCTCTATTAAAATACAAAAATTAGCCAGGCATGATAGCAGATGCCTGTAATCCCACCTACTCTGAGGCTGAGAAGAAAGAATGGCTTGAACTCAGGAGGTGGAGGTTGCAGGTAGCCAAGAACATGCCACTGCACTCCAGCCTGTGGCAACAGAGCAAGACTCTGTCTCTTAATAAATAAACAAATAAATCTGCAATTCATACTTTAAAAGATCCACCACTGGGTGCAGTGGCTCACACTTGTAATCCCAGCACACTGGGGGGCTGAGGCGGGAGGGATCACTTGAGGCCAGGAGTTTGAGACCAGCCTGGCCAATGTGGTGAAACTCTGTCTCTACTAAAAATGCAAAAATTAGCCGGGCATGGTGGCCCGTACCTGTAATCCCAGTTACTCAGGAGGCTGAAGTATAAGAATCTCTTGAACTCAGGAGGCAGAGGCTGCAGTGAGCCAAGCTGCACCACTGCACTCCAGCCTGGACAACAGAGTGAAACTCTGTCTCAAAAAAATATATTTTTGTAATTCATATTTTACAAATTGATACTATCATTTTTCTGAAAGCAAACTAAAACATAACTTCATTACACACAATAGTAAATTTATCTCCAAACTGTATTTTAAGGCTTTCAATTTTTAAATGAACCAAGGAACTGAATATTGCCAAATGTGTAAGTATCCTGAATGTGTTATAAAAAAACATATTTGACTGCCTCTAAAATGCAATAACATTCTAACTGAAAAATATAGTAGCATCTTTCCACAGATCAGTGATCCAATAACTATTATGATTCAAAGACAAATTAACCAAGACCATTTTTAATTAAACAGACATTTCTAAGCACCTGTGCACATGGTACTGCTGCTCAAACGGTTAACATGGAATGTGACTGCAATAACTCAATCTCCATAATTAAAGAACTAAAGGTAGCTTAAGTTTCATCTATTCCCTTTCCCAAACCTTTGAGCAGGCATGTTACAGTCACTCCATACATAGTTAATACAAAAAAAGAAAAGGTAACAAACATTTGAAATTAGTTGTACTTTTATAAAGGACATATTAAATTGCATGGCCTGACTCTTCCTTTTCTGTTTTATTAAACTACCATGATCTTAATAATTTCACTGCAAAACAGGTTCTGGCAAGCATAGACACTGATCATAACCTCTTAGCATGATCAAGTTGAGATGAAACCCTAGGAAACTGGCAAAATCTAACAATCAATTCACCCACTATTCTCCACAATTCTTGCTCTCTCTAGATACCAAGGGAGGCAAAACTGTTTTAAATGATTATTTCAAAAGCAGCACTAATTTGGGGAAAAACTTAACTGCCATGCAGAAGACACTGTAATACTACTCAGGCATCATTTAAGTCTTCTAGCAGCAGAAAGGCAAAAACATCATTACATTTTTTTATTTAACGCACATATACTTACATTACCAGAGTTTACTCATCTATTTACGTAGAAGTCCAAGTTACCTATTATTTTAGAAAGCATTTAAATAAAATGAAATTAGGTTACGTTCTGCAACGCACATGTCTCTCATAAAGAAGAGTATTAAATGACTTTTGTGAATGGAAAATCTGCATATACTGTTGCTTCGCCTCAACCAGTCTTGAGTGGGCGGCTCAATGAACCTAAAGCATGCTCCATGTGAAGCTCCTTGGAACCTAATTCCACTCTTGAGAGAAACAAACATTAAATTTAAAAGCACAGCAAAGGCTTGCCTTTCCTCCTACGTTACAAGAAGGCTGGGAGAACTGAAGCTTAGAGGAACAACACCGTGTCGCTTGGCTCTGCAAAGGCGGGTGCGGTCTGCGGTGCGCGGCACAGCCTCCTCTGGTGCTGTCACAGGAAAAAAGGAGCCTCGCCTCAACCGCACCGAGCGACAAAGCGCCAGCTCTCCCGGGCGCGGGGGCTCCCCACGAGACCCTGCCATCGACCTGTCAAACTTCGGGACGGACAGACACCCGCGGCGGTCGAAATGCTCCTACAGCCTCCCGCTCCCTGTTCCTCTGCCGCGGCTTTGTAAGGCTGCAGATGCACCTACTGTGGGCCCCAAAACACTCCACCCCGCCAGCGTTTCCAAACCCCTACTCCAAAAGGGGACAAAGGAGCCGAAGAACTCCTCGGCGCGAGTGGCCAGGAGTCTCCGACAGCCCGAGCTCAGAACGTGGCAATTAGGGTGCGCAGTCGCCCTGAGGGGTGCGGACCCAGCACCCCCACCTCAAGAATGGAGCACCACTCACCAGTGCGGAGCTCCCAGGGAGGCGGGACGCAAGAAGCCAGTTCCTCCGGGGTCGCCGCGGCGCTGGGGTCCCGGGCCCTGTACGCGTCCAGTCGGACCCCAACTTCTCTCGGCCGCTGTAGTCGGCGGCAGCTGGGGCGCGAGCCTGGACGCAGGGCGCTGCCCAGCTGCCGCGGAGGCACACTGCTGGCTCGGCCCCCGAGCCGGGCGGGAACTTTCAGCCCCGCGGCCCACTGGCCAGGGCGGACCCCCACCTTCCCTCCGTCTGCTCGCTACCGGCAGCGGCTACTGCTGCGGCCAAACCTAACACTACAGCCGCCGCCTGGCGAGGAGCGTGTCGCGGCCTAATGTTGTCATCCGCCGCGCCGCCGCCTTTCTGGGCACCCAGAACCGCCAAGATCCTTTACATTCTAGCGCCCTCCCCCGGAGGCCCCGCCCCCCGGCTTGCGGGCTGCGGCCACGCCCTCTTCCCGTCACGTGACGGTGAGCCGAGGCGGCGGTGGAGTTGCTTCCCCTGCCAGGCGGGCGCGAACCGCTCTGCAGCCGGTGTCCACCTTGTTTCGCCAGGGTGTTACCACCAGCCAGTCCGCTTCCGCATACCCAAGGGCGGCCTCGGGAAGCGAGCCCACCGCCGTCGGCCCAGCGCCTACTGACCGGCTAGGGCCTTCTGGACCGGTGGTACCGGGCCCTTCCTAACCTGAGGAGACTGCACCGTAGGGCGTGGGGCTCAGTCAGGCCCCCTCCCCAGCCCTTAGGCTTGGTGAAAGCGTTAGCGAAACAAAGAAAAACGAACGCTTCGTGTGGAGAGACTCTGGCCCGAGAAGCATTCAGTAACTACTTGTTCCTATTTCTAGTAGCATATTCACCGTGGCATTTAATTTACTGCTTTCCTCATTAGAGAGGTTTTTTGTTTTTTGTTTTTTGTTTTTTTTTGTAGAAACAGTGGTGTATTTCAATCACGCTGGGATGAAAACAGCCTAGCAAATTTATTTTTGTTCCTTGTTATGTTCAGGATCTTGCTGCCAGTTTTAAGTTTTACAGTGTGTTAGGTTGGTGACAGTTTAAACGGGTACACAGGAATTTGGCAGTTCGTTCCATTTTTAAAATAAAGCCGAATTCTTGTTTTTGTTTTTGTTTTTTATTCTAAAGCCTTAGCTTTTTTCCTAATGCCTTAACTCTAGGACTTAACCTTTTGCTTTCTTTTTTAGCCATGATCTGAAGACCCCTCTAGCCACCTAATGAAATAACTATTCAGAAGTAAGGGAGGTAGACTAGTGAAAGATCATACTCATCCTGATCACAATGAAGGCAAATGAGAAAGTTTTCTGTAATAATTAAACTGGGCTCATAACTCATTTTCCCTTGTAGCCCAGAACTAAGGATTTTTTCTTAAGCAATTCTCATCTCATTACATTTTCTTGACAAGAAGTCAGAGGCATTCTGATAAGCTGGTTACATTGAAATAAATAAGCAATAGAGTATTACCTATATAATCATTATTAATATATTTTATAGTAGTTCTTAAAAAATCATAGACTTACCGTTGTATATCACCCAAGAAAGTAAACAAAGGCCGCCTATGAAACTGCCCTACCACTGATATGTAAGGCACCTTTAAGCCACATTGCTTTTTTTTTTTTTTTTTTTTGAAACAGGATCCCACTGTGTCGCCCAGATTGGACTGCAGTGGCGCCATCTCGGCCCATCATAACTTCCTCCTTTCAGGCTCAAGCGATTCTCCTGCCTCAGCCTCCCAAGGAGCTGGGATTGCAGGCACTGCACCACCGTGCCCAGCTCATTTTTGTATTTTTAGTACAGAGGGGGTTTTACCATGTTGGCCAGGCTGGTATTGAACTCATGACCTCAAATGATTCACCCGCCTCGGCCTCCCAAAGTGGTGGCTCACAGCAACTGGCCTGAGACACATCTTGAATTCAGAGATGTAAACGTGGGAAACAATGAGTCTTAAATCTCTTGAGATGTTGTCATGAACTGGTGTTCCAAAGAGGAAAAGATTCTACCAGGTTCTGTTCTGAAGCCTGAGAGACTGTAGTACAAATAAATGTGAAGGAAGTTTATTATTCTGTGACATTATTTCAGCAAAGCTAATAACTTTGGAGTTGCATGTTTTTCAAACTACAACTCAAAAATCCGTTTTATTTTTATATGAAATTAGCTGGAATGTAATACAATATAAAAGATCAGAGTGCAAAATATCTAGTAAGGGCAAAAATTGCTTCATGAACCTTTTTGTTTCAAATATAGTGGAAGGTGAGAGTATGTCCTATGTTGTGGTTTAAACAATTTCTTACTGTGCGTTGCAATCAAATAGATTTGAAAAAGAATGTTTCTAGAGCATAGATAACATGCAAAATACACCATCTGGACATTTCCCTGGTACTTTTACTTTGGAGACTAAAGATTAGAAAAAGGTGGCAAATTGCCTCTTCTGCCTCAGCCCCAATTTCATGCATTTACTTTTGAAAATTTGATCATTTTGTTGGAAAAAGCAATGTACTGGAAGCAAGGAAGCCTGGGATACAGACTTAGCAAATGAGTTGTGTGACTAGATAGATTTTTTTTTTTTTTTTTTTTTGAGACGGAGTTTCACTCTTGTTACCCAGTCTGGAGTGCAATGGCGCGATCTCGGCTCACCGCAACCTCCGCCTCCTGGGTTCAGGCAATTCTCCTGCCTCAGCCTCCTGAGTAGCTGGGATTATAGGCACGTGCCACCATGCCCAGCTAATCTTTTGTATTTTTAGTAGAGACGGGGTTTCACCATGTTGACCAGGTTGCTCTCGATCTCTCGACCTTGTGATCCACCCGCCTCGGCCTCCCAAAGTGCTGGGATTACAGGCTTGAGCCACCGCACCTGGCCGTCTAGATAGATTACTCTCTGCATTTCAAGTTCTGATCAAGGTAGGACTACATGCTCTTTAAGAAATGATACTAAACCTTTTTTTTTCCAGTGGATTGCAAGCATATTTGAAACAAACAGCCATGGTATACTCAGGATTATGCAAATTACTGGCCGCCTAGGTTTAACTCCTTTCAGCTCCAATCAAAAAAAAAAGGAAAATCAAAATGCAAGTAATCGAAAGTGAAGATATTGCAAAACAAATGTAAGTATATCTTTCACAGTCTTCTATGATTATCACTAGTATATAGTTACTTGTCATGTATCACTAATGATTTTGACATACTTAGCTGATTGCAACACAAAAATATGTTAATGCGCCACAGTTCAAAAATCAGTTTTTTAGATTCTTTCAAATCTAATATTGTGATTCCCGGAAATGATAATTCAATCTAGCATTTTCAATGTAATGACAACATAAACAGAAACTAATAAGTGATCCTACACTGTAACTGAAAAATATTCAGTAACTCCCAGCGATCCCCTGCAAGTTTGCTACTCTTAAAATGATTTTAAGAATGACATTTTGAAATAAAGCTTTTTTATTATAGCTATCCAATTTTAACTCCAATGAGAATTCGTCTCCTTTGCCTACTGCTTAGTTAATTATACATTTCTAAGAATGAAAAGTTCTTTCCAAATTAGTTTGAACACTGACAGGCTTGACAGCCTTTCCCACAGAGTATATTTCAACCCTGACCTCGAATGACAGAAATGTGACCTGAAGTGGTTTTCTTTTTTCCATTTTGTTTGTTCCGTTAGACATTTATGTTGCTGACAATTACTAATCAGGATTCTAGACTAAAATCCTCATTTTCTGGAAGAGAATTTAGATTAAGAGCAACCTCAGCTATAAATAAGGTGTTCAACATAGCTTTGAAGAGTTGTATTCTTGTTGGTCATGTGATTTGCATTAGCCAGGGCTTTGTGAGCAGATGTTAAATGCTAAATCAAAGCAGAAGCTTTAAATCTGATTGCAAAATTCAGGTCAATTTCTTACTCTTGTGCTGCCTGCCATGAGAAAGGTGTGTTCCAGATAAGATCTCAAAATAAGAAAATATATGGAGCAGACCTGAAACTCTCACCCTGTACAGAACTGCAGCAACTGACTTGCATCTCCTGACATACAGCTACTAATGTGAAACAAGAGTAAAACAAAAATATTTGTTGTTGTAAATCACAATATTTTTTAGATTGTTTGTTACATAGCAGAATCTTGCAAATCATCTAAAGTGAATTTGAGCCAACAAATTCATGAGTCAAAGGCTAAATGTACTATATGGAACAATAATACTTAAGTGTCTATTTAACAAAATAAGTAATAAACTACAAACTAGTCAACCAGATGTTTGGTAAACATCTGCCTAAAATTTATGTTAAGAAGTAGTCTTTATAAAATCTATAGATTTGCATGCAAAATATTTGCATGTAAGATATTTACATATTGATTTTAAATATTTCTGTTGAGTATTATTTGTCTTAAATATCCCTTGAGGAAAATTTGAATAATAAAGTATAAGGAGAATATAGCATTTTGTTTCTAGAAATATCAAGGACTAGGTCACACTGGTCACACTGGAAACAAAATCCCTGGAAAAAACATTTTTTAAATCTTGTTTAATATACTGATTAACTGACAATAAGGTAAGAAATTATTAAGTTAAAAAACTAAATGAAGGTCGGAACCTAGAGAGTTTAGCACAGGCGTCCCCAAACTACGGCCCACGGGCCGCATGCGGCCCCCTGAGGCCATTTATCTGGCCCCCAGCTGCACTTCAGGAAGGGGCACTTTCACTGGTGGTCAGTGAGAGGAGCACAGTATGTGGCGGCCCTCCAACGGTCTGAGGGACAGTGAACTGGCCCCCTGCGTAAAAAGTTTGGGGACACCTGGTTTAGCAGAATCAGCCAACCTTTATCTCAAGGGCATGTGCTAAACCCAATTACTAGGAGCTTTAGCTTTCATGGCCTTGTAAGAAAGACAGAAAACCCATGACCTGCATTATGCGCGTGCGTGCACACACACACACACACACACACAAAGAAACACATACACACACACACAAAACCTGTAATTCCAAGGATTATTCATTTGGGGTAAGGATATACTAGAAATAAACTTACCCCTTACTAGCATAGGCACCATCCTCCAGAGTCTACAAAGACAATTAGCCATCTTAAACCTTGACACCTAGTAGACAGGGAAAAAAGCAAAATCATATCTGAGAATTGGGAACCACAATCCAATTCTCACACAAAAATGTAGCTTGAATTCTTATTACCTGGGTCATCCCCAAAAACCTCAAGTTAATAGTTAAGATTTTTTTTTTTGGTCAGGGAGTCTCACCCTGTTGCCCAGGTTGGAGTGCAGTGGTATAATCTCGGCTCACTGCAACCTCCACCCCCCAGGTTCAAGCGATTCTCCTGCCTCAGCCTCCTGAGTAGCTGTGATTACAGGCACATGCCACCACACCAAACTAATTTTTGTATTTTTAGTAGA